AATGAGACCTGTGAGTAAGCTGCAAATTAGTTTAAGACGTTTTGAAAATTTTATTTTTTTTTTGAGCACTCGAAAAGTTATCCTTAGAAAAAAAATTAACTTGATTTTCGGAATCACCGAGCAATTCTACATAGGAATTGGATAGTGTCCTTCGGTGAACTTAAAAAAAATTAAACAAAATTGTGATACAGTGTTATTACTCCAAATACCAAATCTGAGCAATCAGCATCCTTAGGTAATGTTTTGGAAATTGTGAACATCATGCTTCGTGAGACCAAAATGTGTCACTTAGGTATACACATTTTATCGTCAGTACGCGATACTAACTACATATGTAACTAATGTATTGTGTATAAATTCATAAAATTTATAATGCCCTCTAAAATTCTTAGGGTAAAATACACAAATCCTACCTGACCCGCAATTCATAAAACCCCAAGATTTCCTTTATTTCTGAATGCATAAATAACTACTTTTTAACATTGCAAATATTCCGGAAGAGCTGCTCACAACTACGGCGCTCCGCGGCTTACCCATTAGTATTCACTGGCGATATGCATAACTTGCAACAGTCAAACATCAGCCGACAAACCAACCACCTTGTATCTATCGGTCCACTCACCGTGCCAACTGTACTAATGGTACTGGAAATATTTGCATAACGTAGAGCGGCGCATTTTAATTTGAAACTCAAAACTCAACTTGACTTAGTAAATACAACTGACTATTCGCTGCAGGGTAAAATGTAGTAGGCTTTGCTAGTAGAAGTAGAGTAGTCAAAAGAATAACTCTAGCCGCAAAACGAAAATTTGTAATGCCCTTCATGCCAAAAGTGTATTTGTACTACCAGCATCAGCTGGCCTTAGGGTCAAAGCACTATGTTCGTACATATGTACGTACATTAGGGTGCATCACTTGCCATACAACAAAAAATAAAATTCGGTACAATTAGCACTAAATATTTATAGCAAAAAGATCAGCAGAAAATGGGTATTTTTCTTGACAGAGAAAATTTAGCTCGGGTTACGCCATGCACATTATTTTTGCGCGTAACTCGGTACAATTATTAACGTTGGCACACAAAATTAATATGTTGGAATTTTTTTTTATCGGACTAAAATGACGAAATTCGAAAACTCCGATATTTCAGCAACTAGTTAAAGCCGCCAATTTGCTCCAACTCTCTCAACAATCTCTTTTCTGATTTTTAATTAAATATGTTTTTAAATTAAATTTTTTTTTTTTTAAGAAAAATCTATATCTTTTTTCATTTTAATTAAATTTTTAAAACTTGTTTTATGTATTTTTATTTTTTTATTATTATATTTTAATTAATTTAATTTAATTTTCTTCTAATTTTTATTATTTTAAATTTTATTTTGTTGAATTTTATTCTCTACCTTTATCGTTTTCAGACAGTCATGATCTCTTTAGTAATTCACTGATTGGGTTCGCGGGACCTTTCAGTTTACACTTCTCCCGCAACACAGTACGCCCTCCATTTGAGTCTGAATACTTATTTATGTAGAATGAGTTAAAAGTTCGGTAAAAAGTTTTGTGAAACCAAAACTAGGCGGTAGTCATAAAACAAAATATTCCAAAAATTTACGATTCGCTTAAAAGCTCATCAAATTTTGGTACATGGATGTGGCACCTTAATGGGCATAAAAATCTTGCGTCTAATTTCCATATTATTCCTTATTAGTTTTTGTTGTTGTGGTTTGTCGCAAAATGCTTAATGCCACCGGTCGTTGTTTGCCATCAAGGGGTCAAATCGTGTCATAACATGCCACCACCACCAAACAATGCCTAGCATCGCATTGCATAGAACGTAAGTAATAACAACGCCACGTCGGATTCTCCAGTTCAACCTGATAACTTGGCCAACGAACCGTCAACAGATTTCTCTGTCAAACAAACCGCAAAAGAAATTTGAAATTTTAATGCAATTTAAATAAAGACAAGCCAGCAGTGGCAACAGAACTGGTTATAGTAAATACGTGCATACATACATACATATGTATGCCTATGTAAGCGTACATAAATAGAATGACAGAGAAAACCAGAAAACAAGACAACAGCAGCAACAAAAGCAATGACAGGTTGGAAAAAGTGCATGCTTACATACACACATGCAAACAATTCAAATGCAAATTCAAATGAGAGACAACAAAGTGTTTGCAGCTCTTCAACGTTGTCATGAAGGGATTAAAATACGCATGGAATTTGTGCATCGCAGACACAGATAGGACGGACAGGACAGGCAGGATAGGACAAGACTTAGACATTGCAGCTGACGCCAGCGCCAACGTCAGACTCAGCGTAATGTTACTGCTTTAAAGCCTTTATTTGTTCATTTGCTGATAAACACCCATAACAACAACAACAACAACAAGTAATAGGCATGGCCACAGTACTTTCAAGCTTAACCATTATACATAAAAACAAACTGACTGTGCGGACGAAGCTGTTCTCCGAAATCTGAAGAAATATTGCCTCTTGCGGCGACAACTAAATATGCACTACCACAATAAGAATGATATAAATAATTGTAAGCCTGCAAAGGGAAACAACAAAATAAAATACATAGCTTGATTCAATTAAATTAACACAATGCCAACAATAACAACAATAAAAGTCACTATGCTGTTGCAAGTAAATGTAAGTAGGACAAGGCAAAGCGAAGAAAACGCTGATAGCTGGGGATGGACATAGAATGCGAATTCGACAAAAGTGTTGGAAATCAACAAACTAAAAATAAAATAACCAATTCAGTCATTCATTCCATAGTTGGGTCGTACAGAATTACTGCAGGTGGTTTTGCTTGCGAATGCCGTAAGTTAGTATCTACCAGTACTTTTGTCAATTAATGTTATTTTTTAATCAATTTTTAAATCTGTTAGTGTCTCTAATCTAATGACTTTAAGGTGAAGTGTCATAATTGTAGATATACACAGGGTACAGGGTTTTAACTGTATCTAAACTTCTTACCAATATTAAAAATGTGGATGTTTGCATGTTAGGACTTACGGCTCTCTCTCTTCAAAATTCTGTTGCCTATAATTGAACAGCCGAAAGTTAACGTAACTTAATGCCACGTCGAAATCTGTTTCATTTTGATTCTCTAAGTTCCGTTAAGTTAAGTTAAGTTAAGTTGCCATAATCAGCCGGATTTAGAACAAGTCAAGGGTCCATTGTGATAGCACATTGTGATATTTGTCTATGAACCTTAGCAATTGCCGGGATCCCGTGATTAGTCCCGGTAATTTAGATATTCATTATTTTCCAACAACTTAACATGAAATAATTGCATCAATATAGTTTGAGAAGCTGTCCCACCATATAACAAATAATAAATAAATGGGTTTGAACCTACTTTATTATTTAAGTTGAAAAATATTTCATTAGTAACAAAACAAAATACAGTAATTAAATTTATTTATACGCATTTAACAATACTTTAGCGTGTACATTTCTGATAAATGAACTTAAGGCATGTCGAAAAAATAGAAGTTCATAATACTAGTGGCAGAAAAAAAGAAACGCCTTATTTCAACCAGTTTAGCCTATATTTATTTTTTTTATTTAATATTTAAATTTTTGTATAAAAGGTTGCGTGACACCTCCAACAAAAAAAAATATAAAAGCAACGTTACTTTTAGTCACTTGAAACTTGCACTTTATCCTCCTGTAATTTAATGGGCTATACTTATAAAATTGCGTCCCTAAATTTTTTCTAAAAATTCTGAGTAAAGAAAAAAATCAAAACACACCAAGCAATCAATATACTCAAGACACTATGGGCCTAATACAGTAAAACAGCGTTTTTAGTTTTAGAATTTTTTTACTTGAACTTTATAATTTCAAAGATATAATAAATTCTAAAAAAATATTTAAAAATTCAGTGCAACGTAGAATAAAAATGGGAACCAAATGAAAGAGAAAATTCTGTAGGATTTAAAAACATTAAAATTTTTCGGGTTGACATGGACGAACAGGTATTCAAATGCCCTTATAAACAATTTTATTTTTTTAAGCTAATAAAGTTAGAAGGACTATATTCGGGGACGTTGTCGAATTTATATCAGTCCTTAACATATAATTTTTTCAAAATAAATATTGCAAAATTTCAAGGATATTCAAGGATAAAATTTTTAAGGATATTTTCAATACCTTATGAATCAACAAACTTAATCTGTTCTTTCTCTACAGAATTTTCCCTTTAATTTGATATCCATACTGTTTTCCTAAGTACACTGCACTAAATTTTTTAACCATTTTCTGAATTACTCATATTATTCAATTTTCAAAGTTCTTTTTAACCGACTTCCAAAAAAGGAGGATTTTATCAGTTCGTCGGAATCTTTTTTTTTTTTTTTATGTATGTTACCGCATAACTTTGCACCACGTCAACCGATTTCAATAATTCTTTTTGCAACGGAAAGGTAGTGTCTCAGAGGTGGTCCCATACTAATTTGGTTTAGATCCGATCATTGGATCATGAAATATATAGATATATATATATTTTTTTTAAGTCGGTTTTTTTTTTGCTAAAAATTACTTGTTAAAAAATCCTCTCGTCAGAGAGAAAAACTTAAAACGCAATTTTACTGCATATATTTGGCCCATGAATTCGCGAATCTATTGATTTTTGTGTGTAAAATTGCCTATCGCACGGTGTTATTGTACTATGTATAATTAGCTAGACATATGAAAAAAAAAATACTAAATATTAAACAAAAGAAATATAGGGAAACTGTTCAACATAAGGCATTATATTATTGCCACCGAGAGATTCTTGGCAAAGCGTACTACCTAAATAAGGTGACCAACTTGTTTACGAAAGGGGGGCCCTAGGTGCCGTCTCTGTCAAGGTGCTTTGCAAAATATATTTGGCCAGTAGGCAAGCATAATTTTGGTAGATAAAGTTAAGGTAGATGGCAACTGCGTAAATATGGCTGACTATTTTAATAAATTGAAAATTGTTTTGTTCTTTTCAGACACCTCACCAATACCCTCCGAACTCCTTCCTACTAACACAAAACCCAAAAAGCCACAATGAGCAGAAGAGAGCGTTTATTTCATGAGTGGTTCAATTTGTTCGCACTGATCTGGATGATCATCACAGACATCTGTTTCAATGGTAAGTTATGCACATTTTAATCTACTTGCAATGCAATAAAATATTATATAAAATTGTTAAAGCTGTTAAAGTGTAAGAGTTAAGCAACACGGAGGTCAATATGCAAACATTAAAAATGTGTTAATAGACTTTTGAAATGCGTTTGGGCGTACTCACCAGCAAATGGAAATTTTAATTGCCATCTGTACAAATACATATTTAGTATATATGTAAAATAAGCCGTTAAAATGCGGCTGCTTTTATATCCTTATACAACATACATACATATGTATGTGCATATAACTTTTTTCAATGGCAACTGATGCAAACGAATTGCAGTTATATATTTTTCTGACATTAAATATCCAAATATCGCAATTTGTTAAATGTGTTACTCTGTAAACACTACAAATAAGGAAACTCTGAAAATATTTGCTTGCGAAAAAAATTGCGTTGTGAAGCATTTGCAAAACGTCAATAAATACTCGACAGTAAAAATGCAGCAATAATTTTATGTCCGCAATGCAGTGTAGCTGCAGAGCAATGCAAAAGATTTTATAGTACTTATAAATGAAATCGCGGTGGAATTACATATAACTGAGGGTGGGCCAAATTTTTAAGGAAATAATTCTATGTAGAAAATATTCACTACGGTTTGTTAAAAATATTAGAGTGGAATTTATGCCCTTAATATTGAAATTGGTCACCTGTATCACGTTTGTTCAGTATATTTTTATACCATTTGTACACATTTATAAAGGTATTTCTTAACCCTAGAACACTAATGTTGGTCAATCGTGGTGAAGTTTCTTGAAAATGCATTTTTTTAATTGAATTTTCGTTAATTAACTTTTGTTTCATTTTGCTAAGAAAGTATTCAAATAACAACGTATGGAATACTTTTTGACGATCTATGCTTTAAAACTAAAAAAAATCCAGCGCTAAATGTATCATAGTCGATTCGACTAATTACGCGGTGCTGCTACAAAAAGAAGTGATGAAATACACCCGAAACAAAACCTAGTGTAGGTTGTAGGTATTGTCGAGTATGTACTACACAGTTAATTTACCCCGTGTTGGTGAAAAGTAGCTATCTGGGTTGTATGCCGTAGATGGCTGCTCCGATGCTGCGGTCAGTCCTGCAGCTGTAAGCATACCTTTCAGGAGTTTGGTCCTTCGTTTTCCCAGTTGATTGTGTTGGGGAAAATGAGCTTGACATTTCTTCTGAAGTTAAATGTCGATAGGCACAGCCTTTCTCCTAACGGTTAAGGCTATTTGTTAGTTAAAATGTGTACAGGACGCAGCTCAAAAAGGACTCCGAGAGCCGCATTTAGTGTTGTTTTCATAGCGCCAGTAATGTCCCCGCAGGTTACTCTTTGAAGCTGGAACAGAGCTGGGCCTGTGTGGATCATGTTTCTAATTTTAAGTTAAATAGAATGAGTTTGGAGATGGCATCATACATCCACCTTACCAATTTGGGTTTGATGCCCCACTTTCACCCCACTAGGACCGCCAGGTACCGGTATAGATTCCATGAGGGTTTGTCTTCAAGGAAAATTTTCAGATATCTTTCCGTTTTAAAGAAGTGAATCTTATCTCCTTGAACGACTGGCTCTAGTAATTTGTAATTTCGCCTTTTCCTGCAGAAAATTACTGTGCTAATCTTCTTGGGTATTACGTTCATACCGCTATTTCTCAATTATTTGCCGAGTATGTTTAGCGTCTCCTCTAGGAGGCTAGGGCTATAGTATTCAAACCTCCCTGATCATGATGACAATGTCTTCGGCGTGGCCCTAATTTGCACTTTTCGCTAAGTAGGCAGAATAGTTCGTCTACCATCATGGACTATGACAGAGTGGAGAGGAGTTGACCTTGGGGGCAGTTTTTAGTAGTTGGGGGCAGTTTTTCATGGCTAAGGATCTGACTCTTTCCTGTCCAAGAAACGATGTAATGGTTCTGGCTCTAAGAACATTTGCTATCGAGCGGCGTACAGATGCATCAAACTCTTTGCGCCGGACGCAGTTATCTATTAGAGAGTGTTCCGTGTTATCGAAAGCACACTCCATGCTCAAGCAGCATCGTACCAAAACCTCTTTGTTCTCCATGGACCTCTCAATTATCGTTTTAAGACTCTGAAGTACATGCATAGTAAAAATTCCTGGAAAATAAGAATATTGGTTTATATGCAAAGAGTTTCTGGTAAGGAGACTATAGAATACCTGAGATGCTTGTCTATGATTGCTTACCTAGCTTTTAATAGAAAGACGCGGGACTGAAAGAAAAAGCCTTAGCATTTAATTGGTCGTATTTTGATTCAAAACCATAAAAAAGGTTTTCGGCATATAGTGTCAATTCAATGCGGGGGAACAAGAGAACCTCGACTTCAAAAAAGTTCACAGACAATTTGTTTTCTCGCCTTAGATGTGTCGGAGTCCAAAAAGCCTGAAATATAAGTTCCACCCTTTCGTACATACATAACTGCACATACAACTGTGTGTGATTTTTATTTGTATTGAAAATATCGACAAATTCTCCATCACACATTTCATATGTGGGTATGTATGTAGTAGATATAGTAAGTTGCTTTTACTATTCTCATTGTTTTTTGGTTTTAAAGTTGGTTACACACCAGCAATGCAGCAGTTAATTTAACTTTAATCACATGCTGGGTTATTTCATTTTTAATTGTATTCACCGCTTTTTTCCCACATTGCTGCAATGCCATATTTAGTAGTAGCTGGTCCTGCAAAACCACAGCTCCAGCAGCCGTGTCAACTTCAATGGCAAAGTTTATTACCCAATCTTTGATCATAAAAATGCAAAACATTGAAGACAGTAAGAAATACAGAATTAAAATTAAGCGGTCGGAGGAGGGTGAGAGAGGTATTGCGAAATGCAACGTATGCAAATTTCAGTTAGGGCCAATTGAAATACGCTCGCCGGCTGCATATCGGTGGCAGATAGTTGGACAGACGTCCATAAGCTGGCGTGAAACAGGTGCTGCAGCTGTAGGCGATTGAGTTATAAAAAAAATGCAATGAAGCGCGGAAGAATCAGGGGTTGCGGATGATATGAAATTGCCTCGTTTATGTAGTATTATTTATTGCGAGAAGCGACGTTGAAATTGGCGCATTGGGAATGTGAAAAAGACGGGCACGGCACGGTTGCCTGGTTACTCAGCCATCTGCGTTATATTGGATTGTGCGCAGCAAGTAAGCAGAAATATCAATTAAAGACAAACAGAAATTAAAAAAAAAAGTTAATGAAAATGGTGAAATAATTTTAAACAAAACCAAAAAAAGGAAAGTTCCTGGTAATAATAGTGCAGCGAATTAAAATACAGCGGCTCCGCTGGCGCTCCAGCTCTGAAAGTATTAAACTCGGAACCCGCTGGTGTTGGCAAAGGTAGATGGAGGCCCCCACTGCGATTGAAATACCATTTATTTTAATTTTTTAGAGACTTTTACTTTGGTGGCATCAAGTTTTTGCTTGAAAAGACCCCTAGTAAAATATTCCGAAGAATAATTTTCTAGAGCATATAAATCCTCTAACGAACTTCCAAATTTGTTTTTTTTGCTGGATTTCTTGAATTTAGGCTCGGGACGACCCTTTCAGGCCGGAGCTAATGGGTTAAAATGTTCTATGAAAATATTTCCCAAGCAATTTTAACTCTTAACTCTTAACTTTGCCCAGACATTTATTTTAAGAAGTTGTTTCCACTTTATAGAAAACTACTTAGGCCGGGACATGAAAACTTTAGTAGGCCATAAAATAAAAATACGAGCTAACTTTTGCAAATTCATCGAGTGTTCTATTGCTGGATAGGTTACTTTCAGGAAATATTGGCAAAGTCCGGCCTGGTTTGAATTGTCATAAAATTGTCGCACAGTGCTATCTGCAAATGGATAGCCTGTGGAAACTGCAATTCTACAACCCCCTGAAATAATAGCAACCTTGCCAGGGATAATATAGAAGTAATAATTGGCACAGGTAATTACGGGAGTACCCTCTGCGACGTAAATCAAGGAGGTAAAATCTTAATGAAGAGTCGGTGCGAGAGAGTGGGTCTTGATATCGAAAAAAGATACCTATAAAGGTGAATCAGGTCGTTGCCAATGTTTCCCAATACTAACATACATATGTATGCATATATTATACATTGTATACGTATATATAATGATGTATGTAGTTATGTATATGCTAAGTTCCAGGTGCGACACCTAAAAATAGACATACATATGTACGTATGTATGCACATATTTTTTATCGCATGCTTCAGATTTTATCATCCTTCCACTGGTTGCCACGAATTGCAATAATTCGCAATCCACTATACACAAGTACATATGTGCTCGGCCGATTTTAATTCTATATTACTATATTTTTTTCTCGTTTTTTCTTCATATATCACGTATATATGTAAGTGTATTTATTTCATTTTCACTTTCACTGCTGCAGTGCGGTAATTAAGTAATTGAATTGAAATTGTATTGTGCCACATGCCATACGCGCGCCAGTTGCTCAACATTTCTCAACGTAAATTGCTGCAATAGGCAACCGTTGTCCCTTCTCAACACCTGCGAAATGTATGCGTAAAATTAACACATTAAGTCTACAAGCAATTGCATTAACTCAATAAAGCACAAGCTTGCATACAAAAATATATGTATAAGTACATATAGACACGCATGCTGTTGCAATCAGATTATTATTACAAACTTCACTCATTGTTGCTTTGTGTTTGTTGTCATTACTATGTACTATGTATATATTGTTATCATTAGCAGCATTTTTCTTTATTTTTTGTTGTTGTTGTTTATTTTTATTACATTAAATTTGTCAATAATGAGAATGGCCAATTTGTAAAAATGTGTAATGTGCCACAATGTTGCATGATGCCAACATTTGCTCATGTCATAATGTGTTACTTAATGAAGGAATCTGCATATTTTTATCACTTACTAAATGAAATTTATTTTGCCTCTATATTGGTGTTATGTTGGCGATATGTAGTATGTGCATATGTATTTGTTTTTGTTGTTTGGGATGCCATAGCAATTTATAGCAATTTATATACTGCAAGTGATGAGTTAATCTACATACTAAATACTTATACATTCATAGATATGCGTGTAATAAGCGCGTTCATAGGTTAAAGTGCATTATCGAAAAATGTCTGATAAAGCCTGCATTCAAAATGTTGATTGCTTTGCATGCTATTAATTTTTTAACCAACTTCCAAAAAAGGAGGAGGTTATCAGTTCGTCGAAATATTTTTTTTATTTTTTTTTTTATTTTTTTATTTTTTTTTTTATGTATGTTACCGCGTAACTTTGGACCACGTCAACCGATTTCGGTTAAAATCCGATCAGTGGATCATGAGATATATATATATATATATTTTTTTTTTTATATGAGAGTTGAAGTCAATTTTTTTTTTGCTAAAAATTACTTGTTGATAAAGCAATTGCATTTCTGGCTAGTATATTCCAGAACGAATGGATAAGGATTGAACCAAGAGCTTGTATGAGCAAATCCAATTTTTGGCAGTAAATCTCAGTGACGCGGTTTTGCAGAATGACGATACGCGATTTTGTACTTTAAACGACGATATTTATATTTAAGCTACTGGGCGAATAAGATAATGATTAATTTTTTTTATCCATTTGAAACAAATTGTAGGATTCTTTACTTAACTTTAGCTTTTAATTTCTTAACTTCACACTTATGTATGTACATAGGTATATATCCGCTAATCGATCCTTATAACTTAAAATATTTCGTATGAAATTTTTTTTAACCTTTGCCTTTTTGTCAGTAAATATTGAATTCCACTGTCAAACTAATTTTTAAGTCCTTCATTACTAACTGACTTTTTCCACCAAATTAATTGCAAATTTTTGTTGTAGGTTCAAAACATAAATATTCGCCGAAATTGTAGCGGGTTTCTTACATATAAAAATAAATTTTGTATATTCGTTATATGGAAACAAATGCCAAACAAAAATTTAAAAAATTCAACGGTAGTTTTAAGCCACTTGAAGCGTGCACATTACTAGACTAAAACTGAATGGGCTCTAAAACAGCGTACACAGAAAAATTCTAGCACTTCTGGGAAAAAAGTTTGCAATTTGGGTGAAAAGCTGTTGCATTATTTTGTAAAAGTTTTAAACTGGGGCTTATATGAATTTTGTTAGAGAATGAACTGTATTTTAATCGTAAATTCTTAAAAATAAATAATATCACTTTGAAAGCGGGGGGCTATAGATATGTGCAATACTGTACATATTGCATATTGTCACCTGAGTGGAAGATTGAAAATTGGAAAAAGTGGGTCACGTAGTATGGGTACGTTCGCTAATCAGGACTGTCAAAAATATGCCAGAAATAACTGAAAATAAGCGCTATAAAAAGCTCCCTAATTACCAAAATATATGCTAAGTCAATGAAGTTTCATTTAATTTTTTCAATATTTATAGTCACACAATTTATAGTCACACCATTTCTAATTAAACCATTGTTAACTTAACCAATGTTAAGCTTGAGTTATTGGGAATAGTTTTTGGTTTATTGTGTTAAAATTTCACATCGATCGATACACCAGCGACTGAGATATAGCGAGTTTAAATAACAATTTTGTTAAAATTTGTTATCACAGATTGATGTTTTAATTCGTGCAACGGAACGCCACAACTTATATATCGCGTTCTAAAACGTTTTATAACCGGAAAAAAAGAAAAAAGTCCCTTTTTATTAATGATTTCTATGTAAAAGGATGCGATCTTTCGACCGAGATAACTTGAACCAATATTAAAGAAGGCCATAGTTGAGAAGAATTACAATTAAATTTTCGTTTAGAATTTTCTCCATGAAAATGGAAACATTTGGAAAACGAATAGAACCGTCAGATAGCCCGTCAAAAACTCTATAGAAATCATAGTTTTCGAATTATTCTGCCCATTTTCCGTCTGCTTTCCAGCTAGTCGAAAAGCAGCTTGTTTTGCACCGCCCTGCGCGCCTAAGACATTTGGCGTGAATCGCCCCATATGTAAAAGTTTGGCCGAGCTCCTCCTCCGATTTGTAGTGTGAACCTTGATGTTCTCACACAAAGCGGTGGGATCTCCAGTTTTATACCGACTCCGAACGGCTATTGTATTTTGATGAGAAGTCATTATAAACAATCTATGAAATTGAAAATGAAAAGCGTGGGGCGCATGTAATACACTTGAATTGATATGAAAAGTAATATATGTATGTATGTATGTGGGTATATGAATACCGACCGCTTAAAATCGATTTCAAAGTTCTACTTTTGCTGTAGAAATTTTAGGTCTACGTTATGTAGTTTGACTATTGTCAATTAAATTGAATGCTTTGTGTTGCATGCGCTCCACGTTTTTCATTTTCAATTTCATAGATTGTTTATAATAACTTTTGCTAAAATTTCAAAATCAAAAGTTATCAAAACAAATTCTATGGGACTGAGAAATATTATTTTCTACTTTTTAGTCCTTTTATAAAAGCGTTGTATATTAAAAAGTTTTTTTATATTATTTATTTTCTATATTTTTGCGTTATTGCTTTCATTAGGACTTGAACTCGGGCCTTGCGAAGTGGAAGCGCGCACCACTAGCAACAGCGGCCACTACACCACAGCGGCTTGGCGGCCGCACACACACATTGTTTACTATGGAAAACCATATCATATTTAAAAAAAAAAAAACAATATTTTTCTATACAAATTTGAAATTCGTGGGCATGCTGGTTTAACATTTTTTTTAACTAAGCATTGTGAATATCAAATTCGATAGTTAAACTTTTATCAGTGGTTAACTGCATATGCACTGCGAATTTGGCCCCTAGTGGTACAGCTGTACCAAATATTGCAGTAGAAGGGGTACGAGAAGGGATTCTACAGAAGTGTTGAAATAATTATTTGAGTAAGAGCAGCCTCAACATTTAAAGCATATATCACGCAGGCGGTGCCGTGGGCAAAAGCAAGTAAATCAGCAAAAACCCTAAATCCACATTTTTTCAATCCGTTTAAAACAGTTTCTGTTAAAAATGGAATTTGCCTAATGAATCAATATGCCATAAAAGAAACAGTATTCGTAGTTGCGTATATTGCGAGTATTTGTATTTTGTATTACATAATCAATTAGAATTATGGCTATATTTTTTGCTACATGATTAATGCAACTGAATTTACAATCACACAAAAACCAGTCAATAGCATTCAGTTGCATTTATACAATTCATACATACGCTGCCTGTGTATGAAGCGAATGGGAGACATTTTGCAACCAAATGTAATAGTTGGCAATAGCTTCTGCCTAAAATAAAAATTACTTTTAGTCTTAAAGCAATACAGTCGTCGTTATTTAACATTCGCCTTCGATTCGCTGCCCCACTTAACACTCAGTTTGTATGTATGCCTGCAGCTTAATGACACTCGTCTACTTTGCGGTTGGCGCTGCTGAAATCAGCAAACGCGTTCCCACAAAATTGGCTAAATGGCTGCTGTTCATGAACGCCACTTAATTATGTGTCAAGCGCAGCAACGTATTGTGCTAATGTTAAGGCACATACATACATACATACAACCATGACGGCAACATAAGCCAACTTACTGCACCTCGCATATATGTTGTACGCATACTTTGTGCGGCTTTTGCTGATGTTGTTATGTCATTATTTTGTGCAATATTTAATTTTTTTTTTCAAATTGCTATTTTCTTTCGCATTTTGCATTGTCAGACATCTCCACAATTCATTAAGTTTTTTGTTAGCCATTTAATACAATTCAACTGGTTTTTGCAACTGTTTTTTTCGCATTTTATGCGCTGTTAGCTGGGCGGGCGAAACCGCATAATAACCTGCTGCAATGTGTGTGTATGTAAGTAGGTGTAGCGAATTGTCAATCGTTTGGTGTCTGTGCTTAATGTCAGACCGCTTGTTGACATTGCAATGGCGCGCAACGTGGCGATGCTGTTTCTGGCACCTATACGCCCATATAACGGCACTGTTTGTATGTATATTTGTGCAGCGTGTGGGCGTGTTTGTGTGTAAAATTTATTTTCTGAATTTTTTTACAATGCTTTTTATAGCTATTGCCGTTTTGTGACAGCATACAGCAATATAAAATAATTTTCATAATTTAAGCTTAATTAATTTCTATAATCGCATTTATTGTTATCTTGCACTGCAGTTAAAATAAATATGATGAAAAATTATAATTTTAAAACTACGCATTTCAAAGGTTTACTGGCCAATGTTGCAAAAATAAAAGCAAAATCACAAAAATACTTAGTAGCAGAGTGCAAAAATTTAATACAGCATATCTGCGAATTCATTTACTACTAGATTTTAAATGTTGTTAAATATTGCAGTTATCAACTAACATCGTTTTTGTTTTTCTCTTTTTTTCTTCACTTGCCTACTTGCCCTCACCAATTGTTACTTATACGCTATGTCACCCGCCAGCACACTGTTTGAAGGATCTGAAGATTTTCGTGCCGGAGGCGGTCATCATGGGCAATGCAGCGACGCTTTCGTGTCAATACGATTTGGAGCAGGTATGTTAAAGTGTATTTATAAATACATACATACGTACAGTGCCGGGCAAAAGTATTGGCGCAGAGAATTTATCGCAATATACGCAAAGTTTTTTTACGCTAATTTATTTCGAATATTTTTTAATAAAAATACAATTCGTACTTCACCAAAAAACATAACAACTAAATGTCTAAACTTTGTGCAAACTAATTAGCAACTTTCTATTAAGATTTTTTAGTAAAATTCTAAATAAGCAATTTTATAGGTCATTAAATTTTGGTGCAAGTTTGAAGTATCTAAAAAATCGTATTTATTTTTGGAAATTTTTTTAATAGAGGGTGTTGCTTTTTTTTTTTGCCATACAAAAAATAATTTTACATACTATGTAAGGAAGAACCTGAGTGAAAAAAATTTCTAAAAATCAACGCGATTTTTTAGCAACTTCACGCTTGCAATTTATTATACTAAAATTAGATGGGCTATAAAACTGCATACTTAGAATTTTGGAAAAAAAAATCAGAATAGAAAGTTGCAAATCAGTATGCAAATTTATTGAATTTTCCTGAGTTTTGCACAAAGTTCAGACATTTAGTTTTTATGTTTTTTGGAGTAGATCAACCTATGTTTTTGTAAAAAATTATCGAAAATATATAAATTCGAATAAAAAAGTTTTCAGATATTGCGCCAATACTTTTGTCCGGCACTGTACACATACACACTATAATAAAATTGAAACAGGCCGATGTCTGTAAATTATATATATTAAAAAAAATTAATTATGGGGGTCTTTATTAGAGCAATAGAAGTCCAATCAACAATTTTTAGAATTTTTGTCTGTCTGTCTGTATGCTTGTATGCGGACTACTCGAAAACAAATGCATGACATTGAATGCATTTTTCACCGATGTATTGCTAGAGGTCTAATGTAATAGGTGGCTTACACCGTGCATTTGACTCTCGAGTAAATATTGCAGTTTGACTTCCAGAAGAAAGAGGTTTAAAAAGACTTACAGCCGAAAATATTTTTGAGGAGGTTGCCACATTTTTGAAAATCTTTATTTAATTTAAATTAAGTAGTATTGCAATTTGGGTATCAAACTGAAGAGGTTTAGGAAAGTTTACTGCCGAAAATAATTTTGAGGAGTGCTGCCACCTGTTTTAAGAATTTATTTAATTAAATTGATAAAATAAATGAAATATTACGCCGCACGCCGGGTTTTTTCCGTTTAAATAATTATTAAACGTACGATAAGTATCTACATACATAGGTATGTGCTACGCTGCCTCGCCTTGTATTGGCTCCCCTCCACCAATAACACTGCACGGCCGCTAAACGAACACAAAAACCGTCGATAGACGTAAATTTAATTTTGGGTCAAAGATTACAGATCTGTATAACTTATTTTTTAAATCGGTACGCCGATCTCGATATAAAGATGCAACAACAAAAGTAATGTACTATTCCTACCAACAGAAATAAGCTGTTTTTCTGAAAGTGGCATAAGTCATTTCCACCTCTTGTGATTACTTCTAACTGAATGCATGCGTAAATCGTTCGAGCGCCATGAATTAATAAAAAAATTTGTTACCTTTGGCTGTTGAAGTTGAAAGGATGAGAGACAGGCTCAGATACTGGTAGAAGATCAATGAAGTTAGGTAAGGTTAGGTTAGGCTCCTCCTCCTCGTACCTGCAGGTCCTGCAAAAATCATTGAATGGCACCGGAGTCTCCTAGCTAGAGTGATGTGACCGGTAAGCAAATATTGAGCTGGCATGTAGCGAACGGAATGCCCAACCTTGCAAGCAAAACCGTCATCTCATTGTCTGGTATACCTCTGGGTTTCGGCACCCATACCAGTTGAAGTTTGAATTGCTCTTCCATCACGTTAAGTGATCTGCGGAAACTCACTACAGTTTCCGAGTTGCTTGTGACAAAATCCAGAGCTTTTAAAGCTCCGTGGCTGTCTGAAAATATGTAGATGTTGTTGCGCCCTACTGTCCTTAACAACTCGTTAGCCCCCTCTATGGCCGCAAGCACGTCTTGAAATACGCTACGGTGGTCGGTAAATCGGAATGACCTTTGTACTCTTATTTGTCGTCTGCGTTTTTTGTATCGTGATGGTGGCTATTTGCTCTTGTTCGCCCCGAGGCCGTCCTCTTTGGCCCACTTCTCCACCCTCCTTAGTATTCCCTGCATAACATCACACAATGTTTGCGGAAATTTTCCATTGCAACCCCTGCTCTGTCCTGCCTATGGGCAGGTGTACTACTGGCAAGACCCATACGAAGGCAGTTAGGATTCCGTCTTGTGGGGTATTCCTACTGAAAAAACTGCTCGTCGATATCCCCGCCAGATCGGTCTGAATAACTCTTCATATTAGCAATTGGTCGTGGCAGCAGTGGCGAATCGATACCCAGATCCGCCAGCGCTGTCTTTATGGATGCGAGTAAGATGTTGTTTAAGGCACCCTCTATGTCTAGGAATGCTACAAGACTGTATTCCTTGAAAGATAATGATTTTGCGATATGCGCCACGATCTCGTGGAGCGCTGTTTCTGTGGACTTACCCTTGGTATTGGCGTACTAGTATAGGTCGCACGAGTTAACCGGCTTGAACTGACTTATGTATCTTTCAAAATAAACGAGTCAAATAATGAAATAGATTTTTTTTTTCCCTGAGTACTTTATACAGCCTTTAAACATGTTAAATGTTACTCATACGCCATGTAGGAATTTGGCAATTGCTTTTCTTCGTTAGTAGCTTGATTTTTTAGCAAAAAAAAACAGGCTCTAATAAAATTTTTCGATTTCTCGAATCGAAGTTTCTGGAGTTTTCAAAATATATCGAATTATCGAAATTTCAAAGTTATATATGTTTATTAGGTTAGCACTGCATATCGAATTTTATCTTGTTACTATAGTGTAACGAGTTATCGTAGTTTCACGATAGCTTTCGAAAAATACAGAGCTACCCAAATTAAACGAGTTATTAAAATTTATAGAGGTATCAAAAATTTATCGAGTTATCGATATATATCTGAAAAATTTTGGGTTATCGAAATTTATCGACAAACTAAAATGTGTCGAGTCATTTCCAAGTCTTGTCATGTCCTCCAAAGATTCTCTTAAAACTAGAAAACCGGTCAAATTTCGACAGTAACTAGCTCTCCTGAATAGTATTTTTATAAAACTGTAGGATATCTCTAAAACTTTTCTATACCACGGTAGTTTCGAGAGGATAAAATCTAAACTCTAAAATTTTAAACTCCAAAACGTTCAGTTTTTCCTTATTTATTTTTAATATTAAGTCTATGGCATAGACTGTATCGAATTTTGAGCAAGTTTTTTTTTTAATTGGACCAAAGCAATCCCGATAATTTTACCTTAGCATATAAGCCTCAGTTTTCTATCTTCTTTGGTAGCAGCGGGACCATTCAAATGGTATCCACTGATTCTATCAGCAGCGTGTAACTTACTATTTGTCGCATGCCACATGCTTCGTGCCTTTTCTGCTGCTGCTACTTGCCACTTGGCATCATTTTGCATGCAATCGTCTACACATTCGCCCCGACTGGCCACCCGCCGTCCGCTTTCCTAGCTTGCAGCTGCAGTGCAAGTAGCATATTTGCCAGCTGGTATCGTGCCACCACTCACTGCGCGCTTCTCAATTAAAATAATTGCACGGTAATTCGTCTCTAATTCCTTGCCACTTGCCTGCTGATACACGCTGGCATCAGTGACTTTCTTGTGCCATGCTCCTGCTGCGCGTTCTTGCACGCGTTTTTTTTTACTGATATACCAACATATATAAATACTTACTTTTTTATTTTATTTTTTCACATCTCAGCCACTCACTCTTACTAATTTTCTTCCACATTCTCTCTCACTCTCTTTTCAGGCTGCTCTCTACTCAGTGCGCTGGTATTTCGGCACCGAGGAATTCTATCGCTACGTGCCTAAGGAGTCACCGCCCACGTTGGTCTTTCCCGTGTCTGGCATTAATGTCGATGTAAGTTGAGACTATTTTTTAGCCCCCGCCCCTCTTTATTACCTCTCACACTGTACATAGCTCGCTGCCTCGGCTGCCTCTGCTGCATCTGCTTTTTCTCGGTTCAAAATATTACTGAACTTTTTTATTAGTTTTAGTAAAGAGTGTTTGTTATTTTTGCAGTGCGTTATTTGTGTCGTTTGCAACAAATTTCCATTTTCATGCGGCGACACGTAGCAGCGACATGGATAGTAAATAACAAAAATAGACGAAAAAATTGAAATAAATATCCACATAGCTTACAAGAAATTCTAGTTGTTGACGACAAAGTAAGTGCAAGTTCCTCATCCTTGCTCTCCGTTTGACCCCAGCCCATCTGTGATGGAATGTGGAAATAAATCGGTTGTCACTTTCGTCGCTTGGCACTTTGTCGAATTTGCTGGTTGTTTGTTGTTGTATGCCTTGGTATGCGCATTCCTTGTGACATATTTTCAGATCTGGCTGCGCTGCACACTTTCCTTTTGCAGCCGACATTGCTGCTCATGGCTAGCGCCAATTTATTTCCTTTGTAAAATATGCATTTGAATTTGTCTTTGATTGTTTTTAATTGCGCTTGTGAATTCAACGAGAATTTGCGCTTATACGCACTGATATAAATATCATTCACATACATATGTATTTATATACTTTTATATACTGAGTGGAGCTCTAGTAAGTTCCCCAATTTAAAAGCCAGCACTAAGCTAATGACTTTTCAGTTTAGAAATTATTCTAGCACTTATTGTTAATCAAATCAAATCCAAAAAAAAACACTTTTCTTTTAGTTTTCATTTTTTTGAGTTTAAAGTTTTGAACAGAAAAATAATTTTTTAAAGAAATTTCACATTATCGTAGTTTACGGCTCATTCATAATTCATAAACAAATCAAGTAATTTTGCCACGTCAAATTTGTGAAAAAATGGGAAATTCACCAAAACTTTACCAGTTTCAAAAATTTGCTATCATAATTTTAAATTTTTTAATCAGATTTTTTAGAAAAGTTTTGGGTATGTATTTTTATAGCTAATTTAATTCCAATATAATAAGGTGCAAGTTCGAAGTTGTGCAATTTTTCGATATAAAAATATGGGTATTTTAGAACATATCGACTGCCAGTTCGAAAACGCCCTGTCTCAAAAAACTTTTCAAGAACGCCCTATTTCAAAATTTTATTGAAAAACACGCTCATCTCAGAATTCGGGAAAAAATGCTCTATCCTACTTCAAAATGTATTGAAAATGTGCTGATATAGGGCGTTTTTTAATCGGCGACTGAGATGGGGCATTTTTGAAACGAATTCTGAAATAAGTAGGGCGTTCGTGAAGAGTTTTTTGATATAGAGCGTTTTTTCACTGGCTCCCGAGATCGGTCGATCTTCTACTCAGCAGTCGATATGTAAGTGCTTTGTGTGGATGAAAATGCAAAACGTCTCCAACCAAAAAAAAACTTACAAAAATCAACACGAATTTTTAGACACTTTGTATACTGAAATTGAATGAGCCATAAAACTTCATACCCAAAAAACTATCTGTCAGCCTAGTACTACACAGCGGTATTTTTAACCGGCGAAGTTTTTATTACTGAAGTAGCATTACTAGCTTGAAGTGTGGCCCTGCATTCTGGCTTTGTAAATCAATGGAAAAGAATATTCGTTGCAGATACCAAACACCTCACGTTGCACACAGGAGTATTTGTATAATAAATCCGGTAAAAATTCAGAATAATCAACTTTAATATTTTCTTTAAACATAGCGACCTCTTGGCGGAAAATTGTCGTATCTTACATTTTTTACGAAATTCACTTTTTGATGCAACTTTGTTTTACAACCCATAACGCATCACCTGTTCAAATATTACGGCTTAAATCCCAATAGCAACTCCAAAAATCTACTGTAAATTTTACCGTATGTGACAATGCATTTTTACTTGTGGGCGAAATTATCGTATGTGCTAAGAAATTAGATTGTAGAGACCTTACAAAAAAAATCTTGTGTTTAGTTATATTTCTCAATGGTGCTAGCCAAAGCAGAGAAGAATACGAAGAACACTTTCCTGTAAAATTTGGTTTTTGTAACATACGATGATGTTGACCTCCATTCTTTCTCAAGCTATATAACCGCTCAATCTGTTGGAAGGATTATTGACAACGTGAATTTGTTTCCTTGGTTATTATGTTTTTTTCATGGACCAATCTTAAAATAAAGCTAGTAGACACACAATTAGAAAGTATGTACTATAATTTACATATATTATTTTGAACTATTTGAAATGGGGCTATGGGATATTTATATTTAGCAAAAATATTTAATAAGCAACAGTCATTTTATTTGCTTGTCCAGCCTTGTCAGGCAGTATTCTTTTATAGGAATATATTTTGGATCCTTGGCTATAGATCATTAGACGGACTATGAAACTGGGCAATAACACCCTCTACTCAACTTCGACGAGAACGTATAGGTCTTTAGAACACTTTACTGCATTTTTTATATTTTTAAGTTAGTTATTTTTAAATTGAGAATGCATCAAGCATTTTTTTAAATTTAAAAAGCATCAAAATTTTGGAAACAAGAAATTCTACACAATTCGTAATTATTCGTAAATGAAAGCCAATCTTAAAAAACGGAGAGCATATCTGGACTCGCTGTTCTAAATATGCCATAGAAATATGAAACATGAAATATGAACATGAAAACAATTTAAGTTTCAATAATTTCGCATAAAATTTAATAAAAAAACGGTAAACTGTTACAAAAAAACAAAAAATACTTGAGAAAATAATTCTGTGTTCGTATGGAATAGTACACTGAGGGAAAAAAATATTAAAATCAAATAGAAACGTAATTGATCTTACTATAAACGTCAACGAAAGTACTGTATATTGGTAAATATTCAATTCAATTACGCGCATATTAAAATGACCGCGTTCGTACTGAAAAATCATCCGTGAAGTGAATAATCAAGACAAAACCTCAAAAAAAAATTTGCATTTTGCCTGCAGTGGAACTCGAACCCGACCATCCCAGGATATAAACAACTTGTGGCAATCATCTTTGCGCACTGAGCTACACCCAGACATATAAATTTGCTTTCAAATGTTGAATATCCATCAACACCACAGCGCGCGATTTGTACGGATAAACATGTACTATGCATGTATGTGTGTGTTGTCACCGCTCTCAGAGCGGCAGATGTGGACAGTCAAATACGTGCGTAATAAATTTTGTATGAAAATATTATTTTTATATACGAACATTTTTAAACGATAATCAAATATAAAGTATTCATTTTTACCATGCATTATTCCTTCAGTGTAGCTTATGTCGGGAAGCTTTAGTATAATGCGGCATTCTCTTTATTCTTTAAAAGACAAGGAATCTTTTGATGAGACTAAGCAATAATAACCCCTCAAACATATTCTGAACGTTCGGAATATATGAGTCCAACAAAATTCCTATGAATGTAAGAAATATGAGTTTCAAAAAATACAAAAATTTGCCTCCTACATATATGAACCCTTTAGGGCTCTTTTATGATCAAAATTATGAGCCGGCACTTTGTTACAATAAAAAACAATACAGATTCTGAATTTCTATTTAAAATTGTTTTATACAAATTGTAAAGAAATAAAAAATAAAATAAACAGAATTTGGCTGCAATTGCTGCTTTTAAATGGATGTACATACATATGTTTGCAGGCACGAAAGAGATGTTTACTGTTTCAATCTATTTTATATATGTACATAGGCATATTTATTACATCTTTACAGAAGTCTATAGTAGCAGATTTTCAAAAAAATTAAAGCAAAAAAGGAAAATTGAAAGTTGCATGTGCATATCTACAGAAGTCCATCCACGTCTATAAGAAATTTTAATAAAATATTTAGATTAGCATATTTGGATTTGTTACTTTTCTTAATTATATGTGAATAACTCAGTGAGAGGGGAGACCAGTATGTTTGCATGTATGTATATAAAAAAAATATTTATTGGACCAAAAAGTAGTGGGTAGGCACTGTGGCCAATGGTAATCAACTATTACCACCTCCGCATGGTTGTAAACCATGCAGAGAAAGTTCAATTACTTGGCAGTTGAGAAGTGCATGTGCAAAAATTTCCTAAATTGCATAAAGGAAATTTTTGCACATGCAGCAGTACATAGCATGTATTTAGGCGCCTGGTGTTAGCAGACGCGCCTAAACAATATGTATTTATTAAATTTTTTTTTTGCGGAATCAATGAGAAGAAGTGGTGTATGTTTAAGGTCAATAGAAGTCATATAAGGACTTAAAAAGGCCTCTAAATGAGTTACAAATGAGGGGAATAAGAGCCTTATAAGTTAATAGTAAAAACAAATACTCTTAAAGCAAGCTTTCTAAATATAAACGAAATCGGACCATAAATACTGGCTTACCAAATATATCGACTCGTGCGCCACCTATCGGAAAAATTTTTAGTCCAGTTATTCCTTCTATGGTCGCAGATATACTTTCTAAACATGTACCAAATCGGACTATAAATACGGAGTTTCCAAACATCTCGACTCCAGCTCCACCTATCGTGGAGCCAACAGTGAAGTTTCAAGTCCCTAGGTCGTCGGGAAGTTGGTAAAAAAATAGGCTCCGAAATAGGACTCCTTACAAACTCATTTATGACTCCAAATGTTTGCTGGGAACAGACAATCAACTCAACTGTTGTAAATAATTCTATATTGCAACAACAAATCAATTAAAATAAAATCAAATAACAGTAAAGTCATTTTTATCGTCTCGTTCACAGAACAAAAATCGAGGTGGTTGTTTTAAGGTAAACGAGAAAAATGTATGTACTATGGCTAAAGCTGCACTGAAACGTCAAAATCTCGAAAGAAGGATTGAAAAGAATTGCAAAACAAAAGCTCGAAAATTGGCATTTTGTACTTTTAAGTTAGGTTATTGAAAAAAACGTGCCTTCACTCCTTTGTGTTCCGACTCGAATTTAGGGAA